CCTGGTTTTCTGTGAGCCGCCCTGAGTCCCCTCAGGGAAAAGGGCGGCCTACAAATGCTAATAAACCACTAAACCACTAAACCACGCTCAATCCTCTCCATGACATATACAGATGTTAAACCAGACATTTCAGTGAATAATAATTCTACTTTTCTCCTGTGCCTCATTGAACAGTTCAATTATTTCTCATTCTTTATGCTACCATGCTGGCTATGGCCCCCCCTTTCCCTGCACTGCGTACTCATGATAGTTGAGAAAACTATCTACGATATAACTGGGAATAACTGAAGATATGTGATGTCTGAGGTCTCTTTTTATTTCATTGCAATGCTTCCTACAATTATTTATTATTCTGGTGCTTCATAACAAGAGTACCACCATGTTTTTGGGGGGGAGGTATGTTTATTGAGTTCAATAACCCTTCAGTCTAAAGCAGGGATGTTAAACTCAATTTCACTGAGGGCCGCATCAGGGTTGTGGGCATAGCCAGAGTGAGCTTGGCCAGCTCAATGTCAATCATATCGGGGCTGCCTGTGGTGGCCAGGCACTCTACCAGAGAAAACGGGCTCCCGAGCTCTGTTTTCAGCTACAACTGCCTCCCGCAACCTTTTGCCAGGACCTCTGCTTTCACTGGCAGAGGCACTGCGGGCCAGTTCTTCACTGTTTCCAGGATGGCCCCATGGCCCACATCTTATCACCCCATGGGCCAGATCTAAGCATCCTGCGGGCCAGATCTGGTCCCCAGTCCTTGAGTTTGACACCCCTGGTCTAAAGGGTCTGTAGTGCATTATTCAGGTGACCTTTCTTTATAATCTTATGAAAATTGGAAGTAAAGGAGCGGTAATGGTTAAGAACATAAGACAAATAATTAAGTTAAATTGAAGAGACTGAATAGAAAGAGAGGGAGAGACAGAGAGACAAAGGGAGAAAGAATAGGATTGATCTTTCAGGAAGTTCTAAATTACATCAACCACTAGTCCCAAAGGTGCTTTTTCAAGAGGCAACTGGACTTTCTGGTTTTTCTTTGAAGACATTTCGCTTCTCTTTCAAGAAGCTTTTTCAGTTCTAATTGGATGATGGAGAATGGAAGGATTTATACTCCTTGCAGACAGCTGGCCATTTGCATTCTTTTAGGGAGTTGCTAAGGTTTACCTCACTAAAAGAATGCAAATGAACAGCTGTCTGCAAGGAGTATAAATCCTTCCATTCCCCACCATCCACTCAGAGCTGAAGAAGCTTCTTGGATGAAAAGCAAAACGTCCTCAAAGAAAAAGCAGAAAGTCCAGTTGTCTCTTGAAAAAGCACCTTTGGGACAACCATGATCTGGATGACTGAGAATCTCCATTGACATTTACCCCAACCACACTGCTCACAAGGCTGGGCCCAAGTGAATTCACCTCCTTCCTTAGAAAATAAGCTAGCTGATAAATTTGTCAACAAAAGCAGAGGAAGAATTGGAGGGAATGCAAGAGTAGGAGAAAGGGGAGGAAAGGGAAGAAGAAGGGAAGAGCAGAGGAGAGGAAG